AATATAATTAATTTTAGGATAAAATTATGCCATGTTTGCTACAAAAAAGTTTCTTAGTCCTCTTACCAATGGTAAACTCAACTTTGAGTATGTAAGACATGGCTTCCGTGGTCAAAAATGAAACAGAGCTGTTTTGTTTGAAACTTTAATAGATTTCCTTTTTAATGGGTGTATCTATTGATAACTTTTCCTAATGCTATTTTAATAGAACAAAGTGAAACATAAAGAAGGTGACTTAGATATTGGTTATACAGAAGCAGACTCTTAAAAATAATTGCCAGATTTTTCCTCAAGAATTTAATTCTGAAACTTTCAGGTTAATGTAGGCTAAACTGGAGGAAAATCCTAACTCTAAATTTTAAGACTTACATTTTTATTTTTAATACCATGTAAATTCTCTACTATCAGTAGACAACTTTATTAAAATGAGGTCATATTAAACAGGTGCTTAAAAAGTTATCCCTGCCCTGGCCGGTGTGGCTTGGTTGGTCATCCTATACACCAAAAGGTCACAGGTACAATTCCCAGTCAGAGCACATGCCCAGGTTGTGGGTTCGATCCCCAGTTGGGGCACATGTGGGAAGCAACTGATCGATGCTTCACTCTCACGTCAATGTTTTTTCTTCTCCCTTCCTTTCTCTCTAAAAAATCAGTTAAAATTATTTTTTAAATAAAGGAATAAATTATTAAAAAACACTATATGCTGTGACTTGATAAAGCAGATGGTCCTCTGCTACCCTAAATCTGGAAGTTCTCATGTTTCTTTGTAACCTATTCGCGATTAAAATTCAGAAGGACTACCATATCTTTTAATTTTTTTTATTTTTCATAAGATGAGAAACACAGTTAAAGATACAATCTTGTAAGAATTTTAAGTAGTAAAATTCTATCATGCTATTGTCAAAAGTCTCTCTAATCATTTATGACAAAGGCTTCTCTAATTGTGAAGATTATTTATGCCTGGACAATTCAGTTCCATAAGATAGTATGGCAGACAAATACAATCATAGTAGCTGTATCTGTGAATGTAAAAAAACAACAACAAAGAACATCCCAATTTAATAGCAATTATATTTTTTACTTAGTATTTATTGTTCCGAAAGAAATATTTTAAGTCAAGATTTGTGTGACAATGTTATATCAATTATCTCTCAATAAAGCTGGAGGAGGAAAAAATGATTTGTGTGAGAAAACTTGGATTTAACTAATCTGATCTAGATTCTATCTCTTAAGCTAAGAACCTAAAGCTAGCATAATAAAACCTGTTATGTTACATAAAATACATACCCTACCTAGTGCTCCGCCTTTACAATGGACAAGAGTGCTCTGAAGCCAAGTGTCAGACTAGAGTATACCGATTTAAAGACACCTGAGTGAAGCGGTTTATAAGAAAAATGATGACCGAAATCTAGCTATGGCATTATCAAAAGGTACTGATACTTTTGGAAAGTACTCATTTGAATTTCCACTTTTAACTTCACAGAAAATCAAAGAAGTATTACTGTCGGTTAGTAACATACACACTGGTCCTTCAATTTGGTAGCTAGGCATCTAAGAAAGCATCAAATTCCTTTACAAACTCACACAAGTTAGTCAGGCTTGCAAAGCAGTGTGACACGGTTGTCAGGAAAGCAGTGCCCGGCCAGGGGGTTGCTCCAAACCCCTACATACAGATTTGGTTAAGGTTGGAGGGGTCTGTCGATAAATCAAAATGTTCGTGAGAAACGGCCCGTGACAAGTGCACACACAACGCTGCAGAAATGCACTGACGCTGCTCAT